ATGGCACAGTTGGCTTTTAAGCCAATGAGAGAAATGTCTTGGGGTGCCATTCCTAGGCCCTTGACTCCCAATGTTAGAGAGAAGTTCAGAACTTGTGCTTAGAATCAAAACAGATTGGTCCCCTAGAGTGATTTATAAGATTATGTAGGTGGGGTTGGCTTTTGGGGAAGGGGGAAATTATGCTTGCAAGGACTTTGGATCTTGGGGAACAAGTTTCTACTGGACTCATGAAAATGATGCTGTAGATGACAGAGCTTCTTTTTTCTGATTCTGTCTCTGAGTCACAGGGAGACCTCAGGCTCTTTCTATGCATCACTCTTTTTACAGTAAAGTCATTCCCACTTCCTGGGTTGCTGAAGAGATAAACTAATTAAAAGGCCTCTAGCTCTCAGCCTACTGAAATCATGCTTACAGTCTGTTTTCCATCTCTAATAACAAATGACAATAGTGTGTTAATGCAAGGGCTCACCTCCAAAAGAATCATTTTGGCCATTCTTCCAGAATAGAACCATAAATTTCTTTTTTTATTGTCCCTGAACTAATATCTAGTCATCATATCAAAACCAATGAGAGCCAGGCCTTTCCCTTAAGGGAGGGTTTCATCTTTGATGAGAGGCAAAATCTAAACAGTAAAAAAAGTGGAGAGCTGGGAACTCAGTCTGATTTATTAGAAGGGATGAAAGGAAAAGGGGAAGGAGCACAAAAGGAACTGTGCCTGAAGAAGATGAGAAGTCCCAGTAATTTCAGACTGACGGCCAATTACTTCTGGGTTATGTGGTGGGATTTTAAGAAATCCTTGAGCCCCTTGAGATTCTACTGGTCTGCCTGACAGAGAACATTCCACTCATGTTGCCACTCCACAAGTTTTGATCACTGGTGTCTATTTAATTTGGAGAACTGAATGATTAATTAGTTAGTGTTTTCCAGAGAAACAGCAGCAATAAGGTGAGTGAGCGTGTGTGTTTTGGAGACGGGGAGAGACAGAAATCGATTTTAAGGAACTGGCTTGTGATTATGTGGGCTAACAAGTCTGTAACCTGAAAGCTGCAGGGTAGGCCAGCAGGCTGGAGACCTAGGGAAGAATTGATGTTGCAGCTTAAATCTGAAGTCCATTTGGGGGCAGAATTCCCTCTTCCTCAGGGGACCGCAGTCTTTTTTCTTAAGTCCTCAACTGATCAGATGAGGCCCATCCACATTATGGAAAGTAATCTGCTTTACTCGGTCTACTGATTGAAGTGTTAATTTCATCTTTAAAAAAATGCCTCTACAACATCATCTAGACTGGTGTTTGACCAAATATCTGGGTACTGTGGCTCAGCCAAGTTCACACATGAAATTAACCACTATCCTCCTCTATACAATGGATCCATTCAGCGAGTAACCTAGAATCCACTTGGTTGTGGGTAGTTAGCTGGTTTATAAACTGAGAGAAGAAATTCTCTTAAGAGGCCTCAATTAGGACCTGGCCTTCCATAATATCCTCATCAAATATTTCAGGAAAGGACATCTACAAAGCTGCCTCTGTCTTGAGGTCTGACAGCCAAGCTCAGGTGTTCCCATACAGATTTATTAAATGTGAGATTCCTCAATGGAACGCAAAGCTACAGTCAGACATTATTTGAATGCAACTCTTGCTCTGCAATTAGTTCCATTTTGTGTGCCATTGTCTGAATCTAACAAGTGATTGCCAGACAACTGAGGAGACAGCCTCCACATATGCTAGAAAGCTGGAGACCAAGATTTTAGGTCACGTGGTGAGGGACATAAGAGAAGAAGAGAGTAATAGGAGGAGGAAAAACTCCCTTCCTACAAGTACTAATTCTAATCTTTTCTACTCACATTACCCCTGCACTTCCTAAATCTTGCATTTGAAAAACACTGTAAATCCTACTTTATCTCAAGATCCAAAGCTAGGTTCTAGCGACATTAGCATTAACATGTTCCTTCTACCCAAGGATGCAACCTTCTATTCACGTTACTGCAGCAGCACCTAGGCCCCTCAAGTGTGAGAACAGGATTCTGGAGAGGACCCTGGAGTTCTCTGGGTGACTCCTCCCTCCACTTCATACTTGAGCTCCTCCTCTAGCTGACCTGTTTATTTCCCTCTCAGTGCCCTTATTTGTGGTTAAAATATCCAAAAAGATCTTAGAGATGGCAAGCAGCTTTCGATTACTGCAGGGGGGCCGAGTGCAGCTACAAAGATGAGGACTCCTTGTGAGCAGAAGTGACAGAAGGCGAGAAATCAGAAAAAACAAGGGGCACAGGCTTCTGCACCACACCAGACACCAGCCTTCCTGTCCCACAGACTTCTTGAGGGGAGCTGCTTAGTTAGGCAGGGAACAAACTGCTAAAACTGAATATAAGGATAAAGGGCTAAGAAAAAATTATCAGGCACGATTTTAGCTTCAGTGAAGGTGACTGGGTAAGATTTAGAAATGAGAGGACAAATACCTTTTCCTCTAAAGGTTAACTCATGTGTGGGGGCAAAGGTGCATGGAGCTTCTGGTCCAGCAGAACCATCAGTCTGAGCCTTGAGCTAGGGAGAGAAAGGCCACGATTGATGAGTGATGTCCACAGGCTTGGCAAGGGTGGGTAGATTGTCATCCCTGACTTGTCCTCTCAGGGACTTGGTCCAGAATGTTGATTTGATGTGAGCAGGTGGTACAGTCAAGTCCTAAACCTGTATCTCATGTTTAGCACTGTACTCATCCCCACCTTGAAATCAGGGTGGGACCAAGGTGATCTCAATGACAGAGAACAATCTCAGGATATTTTCTTTTTCTTTTTTAAAAAAACGTATCTTTATCCATTTCAGAGAGAGGAAGGGAGAGGGAAAGAGATAGAAACATCAATGATGAGAGAGTCATTGATCGGCTGCCTTCTGCACGCCCCAAATTGGGGATTGAGCCTGCAACCTGGGCATGTGCCCTGACTGGGGATCGAACTTCGAGCTCCTGGATCCTAGGTCAATGCTCAACCACTGAGTCACACCTAGCTGGGCTTTTTTTCCCAGGCTCACAGTTTTCAAAACAGGGACTGAGTGTCCACCTCTCTCCCTGTATAGGTGGCCATGTTCTCTCAATTACTGGAGTTACTCTGCTCTGAAAGACTAGAGATTTTAGAGTTTTATGCTGTGTCACCCATTTGTTTAAAGGCAAGTAAGCTCCCTTCAGATAAGTTCAAAGCCAGGGGCAGAGCCCACTAGACACTTGTCAAGCTGGAACTCAGGCCTCAGCAATTTTACTCTGCTCCTCACGGGCCTGCCATACTGTGTTCTCACCACTCAGAACAAGCTGGGCCTTTGCACATGCTGTGCTTGCTCCTTCCACCCTCCCTCTGTGGGGTGAGCTCCACACAATCCTTCAGGGCAGCTTTTGTGCTCTTCTTGACTTTCCCCAGAATGACCCTGCTCCCCCATGTCCCAGAAGAATTTGCACTTGTCTTCACAATCAAGACCTATTTTATAAACGCTTAAAAGGTTTCTTACTTCTTAGCAGCTGCTTCACATTGGCATTGCATTCACAGCCAAGTATATACCCTGTGTAAATGTATAGTAGTATATGGATGAATGAAGGAATGGCCTCTTCTTAGAGTCCTCCGAGGGGAATTAGACTTGTACTGAGAACATCAAGGGAAATAATTCAAATCTGATACATCGAGGCCTGTGGTGTATGCCTCTCTGTGGGGCAGTCGGTCTCCCTAATCAGCTATTAAAGGATTGCCTGCAGTGTTCTGTAGATCTTCTATTTACTGTCAATAGTCAGACAAGGTAAAGAAAATCCCTCTGCTTGGTTCTGCTGGCTAAATTCAACCCCAAACAAAACTGATAGAGCACAGCTATTTCTGTCTTAAATAGGAATCCTTAATTCCATTAGAAATTAAGATAAAAAGAAAGGATCCTCTGTTTTTACACACTAATTGAAACCTGCTTCAGAAGACTACCCCATGGTTCCAGAAAAAGGGGTTTTGCTAGTTAAGTTTTTAAAATTCAAGTATTTTGGAGAGGCTAATTTGAAAGCAGCCATAAATCACACTAATTCAAATGCCACTGGTGGTTCATGAAAGGACCTGACCCTGGCCTGCTGAATCTTTACAGGAGAAACCTTGTAACCTTCCTCTGGCTAAGATGTGACATAAGCAATGTTACTGTGAACTGTTGACTTGATTTAGTGTAATTATATCTCTAGAATCACATACCAGTGATTGAAATTCTTAGATATTGAAGATGACCAAATGATAAATTTAAACTGTATTTATGTACCTTATTGGGTGCCAAATAGGTTTTTAAAAATCAAAAAATATCTTTTTGAGTTAAAATGGGACAAAAAGACAAATTCATGATGACAAGTAGCTAATCGCAAAGAGATCTTAATAACAGTCGTAATAATGAAAATATGTCATTTATGTGACCACAGAATACTTCAGACCTCCGTGTTAGAAACTCATAAGCTTTGAGTTACTTTTCTCAGAGACTTGGTGGTACCCACAAGCCCAGCCAGTCTGCATGGACGCCAGTCTACATGAGCCAAGAAGCTGCTGTGTGGGTCAGGGCATGGAAGAGGGAAAGAAGCTAATGTATGTCCCTCTAGGAAGCTAGGAAGGAAAAAGAAACTCTTATCGTCACCAGTGCTGAAACTTTGTGGAAGTTTCTTTTCTTTAGTCCACTCCTCTGTAGGGGAACACCCTATTGCTGTCTATAAAGAATGAATATAAAACTTCTATAGGTCCTTCCATCTTTGTGTCATAAAATGAAGGGGGAAAAAAGAGATCATAATAAAATCTTGATACCAAAAATTCTCAAATAACTCAAAGCATTTTCAGTAGCTTGACATGCCTGAGAAATGTAGCCAGTCACTCGTAAGGATTTCTAACCTCCCTTACAAAGTTTGAGGGCCCAGAAAGGGTTATATTGGAAAGATCAGAACTTAGTGAGACCCTCACAGAGACACCAGGATGGTGTGCATTCACACTATCAATCACTTTCTTACTAGACATGCAAATAAGAATAGCAGGTAACAATTTTATTCACAAGTAAAAAAAGGTATTACAAAACTATTCATATCAGAAAATTCCAGTATGCAAAACAGTAAGAATGAAATTTAAATTGAGTCAAGCTGACTACCTTAAGGCAATGATGGATTTCTTTCCCTTTTTTGTCTATTTTTTACTAGCATAGACAGTACGTAGTGCTTAACCTAGGTAACAGCAACATTAACTTTAAAGTAGAAAAATTTATATTTGAAAAGTATATTCCATATACACAAAATTAGAAAACCCATGCCTTTACATGGTTGTGTTTCAGATCCTTGTCTCATTCTTGTCAATGAGTGTTTGCAGCATTAAAAGTCACGACTATGCGCTGCCAGCCATGTTATTACTTAATGAGTTCCTGGCATCAGCACCCTAGCAGCTGAGTTTATTTGAGAACTGTAGGGTATTCCAACAATGTGAAATGCAAAATGGATTTTTCTCAAGTGTTTACAAAGAGTGTAGAATATAACACTGTATGTTTCTATAGTAGTGGGGTAAAATGTCTTCATCTTGAAAAAAATAATCCAGGATTTTTCAAATGCAGTATCAAATCAAAGTGACTTTCGACCCTAAGTATTTCTCTACTGATCAAAAGTGATGTTTCTGGATTTTGGGCCAGTGTCATTCTCATCAATCTAGCTTTCTCCAGCAAGTGTTTGTCTTTAAAGTTAATGAGGGGTCTACATATGGAAAATATATTCAGGTTACAAAAATGAGCACAACCCTAACTTACTTGGATCACACCTCTGCCATAACGAAAATGATCAGATTGCAATCAATGGCACACATACATGAGTTATAGCGAAGCCTCTCTACTCGCATTTTCATACACATCTTGTGGTCAAGTCCTAAATATCTCACCTGAGTTTCCTAAAGGCAATTCTCATAAGAGTACCAAAGTTTAAGAACCATTGGTTTATGCTAAAAAAACAACAAAAAAGACAAGAATAAAGTAGAAATCAATCGATTATGACTGGGTGCTTACACAAAAGATTGTGAGTTACCATGGCACATTCTAACTTTGTATTTCAGTTAAAGGAACTGAGTTCATGAGGACCAAACCCAGTCAAGCTAACATGCACATGTCAGAACCTGAAACTATTACAGCCACAGAAAAAGGGCTCATTAGGTTTTAATAATATCTTGCAAAGAGAGAAAAGTATGGGGTAATAAGTGAGAAGATAAGAATGTCCAAGGAAAGGCAGATTTTTAATGTTCAGTTTAAATGTTCAGTGTAGGTAAAAGACAGTGATTTGGATGGGGTAATTTGGAAACAAAATATTCTAGTGCACTCTAACACACTGATGTTCAAAGATCTCTCTTTTTTTAAGTGCAAATGAGACAGAGCTAATGTAACCATTTAAAAGGCAAAGGCCAGATCTGACCATGTAGGTTCGAGAAGGAAAAAATAAATCTTGCTCAATTAACTCCTCTCCCGACCATAAAGATGGCTAAGACGGGACATTATTGTCCTAACTAAGCTGACGAGATCAGAGGGAACACTGTGATATCCTGGTCAAGCTACATTACAGCAGTTGTAGGCTGTTCACCCAAAGGCTGCTGACAAACTGTTTTCTCCTGGTTCTGTGTAGTGTAGTCTCATAATATTGCTCACTTGATGACATGTTTCAGTATTAGAGGAGCCTGATACGTTGTAATTTCTAAATCCCTTAGTATGATAGGCAAAACAAAAAAACAACCCCAAACCAAGCTCAGAGAAACAGAACAAATTGGTGGGTGAGGGGTAAGAGAAAGAAAAAAAAGATCATTATTTTTATAAATACCACTTTCTATAAAAGCAAAATCTTCTGCATCTTCTAAGCTCAGTCACAGAGATAGAGTAACAGATGCTTCCATATCAAATGACTTTCACAGAAATATGCTCATCTTTGTATGCAAGTCTCTAGAATGTGTGTGTTCAGTGATTTTAGACAGGGTGATGGGTTGCCTTTCCCACTTCGTTGCTTGACTCAGTCCCCTCATGACTAGCTCCAGCAGATAGGTGTTTGTGAGATCGTGGCTGAGGTTAGAAGTGTTCATTCTTCAAAAGATTTGTTTTCCTCTAATTTCTAGTTAGGCCAACTGACTTCATCTAATAAACCCAAGATTTATGCAGGCAGTATGAAGTCAATTCTAGCCTCCTAGGACAATTAGTTTAGATGACAAAAAAGTGACCTTCCTCAAAAAGAAACACTCATTTTTTAACCCATTCTACATAAAAACTAAGGTAACTAATCTAACATTGACTTTTAATAGGATAACTATGTGAAATTATTTTTGGAAGAAAATACAGATGAAAATTTATACTCTGGATCTTCAGTCTTGTGAAATCATATTCACCATGAAAATAAGCACGGCTGCATTTCTGGTTCTTGTTATGGTCTCGTAACCTCATAGGCTGCCAACTCGTGCATCAGTCTTTGAAGTCACGCTTGTAGCATAGAAGCTTCTTGTTTAGGAAAGATGCAAAGCACCACGAGTGCCTGCAGTCTTTTCTTGTTATTCCTTGAGGTTTCAGCTTACAGCTGGTCTGGCTCAGAAGCAACCGGTTGAAAGGCTTAAAAAGCCATCAGTTTGATTCAGATTTCTTTTTCCCCCCAGAAGCCATGCAAGGTCCAGACTGTTCAGTTCATAAGTGTAAGCAGAGGAGTGCGTGCCCCTTGAGTTCCACACGTGCACTTCTATTCCAGAAAGAATGGAGTCCTAAAAAGCTTCCTAAAACAGCAACAGAAGGAGAGCTTTAGAAACCATACCTTACAAATTAAGGCTGGGAAACTGTAATAGTAAAAAATCAATATATAAAACTTTACTAGTAATACACATGAGTTTAATCACATACAGACAAGAAGCTCATGTAATGATGTTTAAATATCCAGGTACGCATGTACTCTGAGAATAAAAAAAAAATGCCATAGCAACTCACAGTCACTCAGTATTTGCAAATAGTACTTAAAAGACAATAATGTAACCCATAGCAAACAAAATGTATTAACAAACAATTCTTCTGCTGATTTTCAACCTCATTTAAACATTGAAAGCCTGTTTCTGTGTTGTCTTCCTTTAACGCATTTGTAGGTAAAGATCTTAGGAGCCTTTTGACCCTTATTTAAAAGAACAAAGATGATTAATGAACAGTGCCATTCTTCATCTTTGAATTTAAAACTTACATTAAACTATTGGAGAAAGTTTAGAAATAGTTTGGGAATAAGATTTCCCTTACAATGCTCTCTCTGGAATACTCACACTCTTCAGAGGGCCAATGTCCTCTGCAAAGTGGAGCCCTTAGATTTGTTCTTATCACAAAAGGGCAGTGACCTCACCTCATGAGGGGAAGAGGCATCGGCCAACTGCACATTACTGTAAGTGAGTAAAACCTTCATTTTATGCACTGACTCTTCATTAACTTATGTACCACTGTAGGGAAAGTGAAAATACTTAGGCTTTCTCGCCACCTTCTCACGGCAGAAGGCCGCAGTTATGTAAACATGATACAGCACAGTCATAACAGATGCCCTGTTCGCTGACTAATGTCTGACCCATGTTGGCTAAGAGCCACTATTGTCCTGGTTCCTATAAGACTGGCCCAGGATTTTCAGAGGTGTGAGTTTTGTTCCCCGAGTACAGTTTGGGCCCAGGGATGTGGTTTGCCCCTCAGCTGGCTGCCACTGGGGGGAGAAGGCAGGTTTGCGGGTTTGAGTTTGTCCCCCGGGGTGTAGTGTGCCCCCATGTGTGTGTGCCTGGCTGGCTGCCACCAGGAAGACGGTTTGTTTCTCTGTATGTCAGCTGGTCATCAGCGGAATAAAGTAAATGTCTCATCCATCTTTGGCTCCACGCTTTTCTGACTGTCCCTGGATCTAGAGTGAACCTCGCTGGCCCCGAGTGGCCACTACAGTTGGCATAGTCCTTGGCAAGACACTTGGCGTAGTTCTCTGCATTACAACCACTAATATGGCATTAGTGATGTATCAGATAAGTTAATGAAAAAAAAAATTTCCCCTAGGTCTAAGGAGATTATCTGAAAATAAAACCTTCTGAAGTACTCTTGATAATTAGAGATAGTTTTAGTCAAATATGTCAATCAATAGATATAATAATAACCACATTACCACTACTGTGGGAGACAAATTATACTCATTTTGTCAATAAGGAAAGAGAAATTTTAATAGATTAAAAAACTGGGACCCAGGTCATTTAATATCTTTTCTACCATTCCTTCTATTGCTTTATGCTGACACTTAAAATGTAAGCTAAAAAACATCACCAAAAAAAGCTTTTCCTATAAGTAAAGAGGATGGCCTCCTTCTCCCAAACACCATAGCAAATGATGTTCCAAATGTTTTAGATCTGTTCTCTTCTGGAGAGGGATTAAAATTAAATCATACAGACCCAAGAAGGCTCTGACACCTATTTGCTTTACCCTGAACCATAACTATCATCATTGGATTCTAGGTGGTCTTAAACCACCCATAAGAAAACTACTGTGTAAAAAAATAGTTTTTGGAAACAAATGAACCATGCATTAGAAATCTGAACTTTACCCCAAGTAAAGACAAAAGTACTGTTATGCATTTTACAATATGAACGTGTAACAAATCACACTGTACACCTTTAACTCATATATTATTATATGTCAATTTTATTTCAATAAATCCAGGGAAAAAGAGTGAATATATGTTAAACTAAAAACATAAATGAATGCCTAGGAAGAATTTAACGTTTTATTTAAAATAAAATATAAAATAAAATAAAATAAAATAAAATAAAATAATTAAATTAAATTAAATTAAATTAAAATTAAATAAAATAAAATAATAAAATAAAATAATAAAATAAAATAAATTAATCACTTAAAAAGAAAAAGAAAAAAGGCCTGTTATGGCTATTGCTGCCCTTAGACGCCTCCCAGGTGGAAATCCAGTGCTTTCCTGAATTACGAACGAGCCTATACTAGGGGCCACACTGAATAAACATGACCTGGAGGAACTAGAAGTCCTTTACTCTGGTTCATAATAGTAAGCTGCTGAAATAAAATATTTAAATAAGAAGTTAGTATATTCTCTGTCGTGGAGAATTAGCCTGTTGTCTGAAGGGAAGTCTGAATTGCTTTCTGGAATCTAATGGACTGGGAAAAACAACTAGTCAAGTTAAATACTTGGCTACCCTTGAAATGAAGAAAAGGATCAATTTCCCAAAGAGGTGCAGTCGCTGCCATTTCCTATTTTCTTTTGAAGGTTAAGTTTCATTCACCCAGTTTCACACATTCAGTAAATGCAACCCAAGAGGAAGTGCTTTTCCAAATCTGGAAAAGATTATCTCTTAGAACGGGCTCAAAATAGTACTTGCTGTTTTTAATTTTAGGGTAACAATGGAAATGATTCCTTTCCTGAATTCAGAATGTCTTATTTAGATTTACCAAAATTACGTAATAATTATAACACATCTTGGAAAGCTAATAAAAAACCTTTCATTAATAATTACATTGTGTAACTTGAATATAACACTTTCTTGTTCATTTTATGTGTAATTATAACTTTCTTTCCATAATAATTTGTGTTGAAAATAACTTTATGTAGATCATAATCACCTTGAGAACACTCTTTGAAAAGGAATTAATGTCATTACACACCACTCATATACTAAACTATGTTTCTAAAATTTTACATTCATGTAACTGTGATTAATAGTGCTTATCGACCCTATGTCTACCTCACCAACATAAACAGAAAAAGGTAGAGAAAGAGTTGGTTTTTATATGACTTGGTATCAAGATGTTTCAAATCCTTAGGCTTAGTATTTACATCACAAAATTGGGGACAAGCTACAAAATTAAGATGAGATAATTCTATTTACTGACAATACTCTGAAAAACTGTAGTCTGATGGTAGCAGTCATTCTAGTTACTCAGACTTTCCCCTAACAATGATGTATGGGAAGATGTAATAGATATTTGTGAAGGTAACACAAGCAAGTTTGATGGTAATGCCAATTTACTTGATATAAAAGAAACTTCAGCCTGGCCAGGCGTGGCTCAGTGGCTGAGTGTTGACCCAGGATCCAGGTGATCGGGGTTCGATTCCCGGTCAGGGCACATGCCCGGGTTTCGGGCTCGATCCCCAGTAGGGGGCATGCGGGAGGCAGCTGATCAATGATGTTTCTCTCTTTCTATCCCTCTCCTTTCCTTTCTATGAAATCAATAAAGATATATTAAAAACAAACAAACAAACAAAAAAAACTTCAGTATCTTGTAATGAAAATGGAACTCTTTAAATTTTAGGAGTTCTAAGACTTATTTTGGAGTATGTGGCAAGGCATTCAACTGGGATGCTGAGATTCGTTGTGAAGGGGGTGAGGTCCTCTCCATCCTGTTTCCTGCATCTCTAATCTGTTTTAAGGGCCAGTTAACTGCTCCAGGCTGCTAGGTGTCCTCAGCCCTGAAGGTTTGTGGGCTACAAACCATTCTTTAGAGCTACACTTAGCTAAGCTAACTCTTAAGTATTTTCTTATTATTATCATGAAAGTTATAAAATTATGGGATGGCTCAAAAGAACAAGGTCAGTAAACAATCTTTCCCAGCTATAGAGACATGCATTTTTTTAAAAAAAAAATTATTTATTTTTATTTTTTCCATCACCATTTTTAAACTGTCTAATTTGTTTGTTTTCCCTCCCTTTACTTATCTGTTCTTAATTTTTTTTTTGAGAAAACTTTTTTCTGAGCCCAACAAATGTTTTTGTATAGAATTCCCTATAACTTCTCTATAGAAACTTTATGTAGTTTAAAAATAAGTACTTATATTGATTTAGATCAATATACAACCTATGTAAGATTCTTAAAAGGAACACATCTCCATCTAGAGAAAAACATTAAGTCAAACTCAGCAAAAGCCACATCGTTGCCTGGAGGAAAAGGCAGGGTCAGTGCCCAGGTGTCCCTGAGTGCTTCTCTGCCTCCCGTCTTGCAGCATACTAGAGAGAAACCACAGTCACCATCTCCCCTCAACCTTATTTTACACCTTTTATCTAGGAGGTTCTTAGGTGGCATTTAGTTTCAGATCACAACCAACAATCAATTTCCAACCAAACTGATCAGTCAGTCAAAGCAGACAGGAAGGAAAAGCATTGCTTTAGGAGATCTACATTTTCATGAACTTGACGTTGAATGAAGTGCCTTTAAGTATTGAGCATAAGAATATCACAGGGAAAAACGAAGGTGAGAAGTTGTTTACAAAATGCTCCCATAACTAACTCTTCTCTCTCAATCAGGAATGGAGCCAGAGGACATTGTGCTAAGTGGCACTGACCCTTAAACAACACAGATTTGAACTTATATGTGGATATTTTTCAATACATATGTATAGTACTGTAAATATATTTTCTCTTCCTTATGATTTTCTTTTTTTTAATATCTTTTTTAAAACTATGTTTTTATTGATTTTAGAGAAAGGAAGGGGTCGGGAGAGAGAGACAGAAACATCAATAATTAGAATCATCTATTGGCCGCCTTCTGCATGCCCCATACTGGGGATTGAGCCTGCAACATGGGCATGCATCCTGACTTGGAAGCGAACTGTGACCACCTGGGACATAGGTCAATGCTCAACCACTGAGCTACACCAGCCAGGATCCTTATGATTTTCTTAATAAGGTTTTCTTTTCTCTCACTTACTTTATTGCACATAATCCATATAACATACAAAATATGTGTTGACCTACATTTTATGTTATCAGTAAGACTTCCTATCAATACAGAGGTGGGCAAAAATAGGTATACAGTTGCAAGTATGGGAAACACAGAGTTTATTCTTGTATTATTATTTATTAATTATTGTATTATTTTCCATACGAACAACTGTAAACCCACTGTTACCCACCCCTGTGATAGGCTATATTAGTAGTTAAGATTTTGGAAAATCAAGGTTATACTCGGATTTTCTACTGCCCCGGGGGTGGTTGCCCCTAACTCCTGTGTTGTTCAAGGATCAATTGTAGTTTGATTTACAAAGAAGAATAAAAAAATGCAGCTGCCCTTTATGGACTTATACATTAACTTTTAAATTTTTAAAAAACTCTTGGAATTTAATTTAAAATACATTCTTCTATACACCAATTATGATTTCTCAGAGAGAAAACCTAAAAAAATCCCATTTACCATTGCAACAAAAAATATTAAGATACTTAGGAATAAACTTAACCAAGGAAGTAAAAGACATGCACTCAGAACACTACAGGATGTTGCAAAAAGAGATAGAAGAGATACAAACAAGTGGAAGAATATACTGTGTTCATGGATTGGTACAATTAACATCAATGAAATCCCTATTAAAATACCAATAATGTATTTCACAGATCTAGAGCAAATACTCTGAAAATTTATATGGAACCATAAAAGGACCCTGAATAGCTGCAGCAATCTTGAGAAAGAAGAACAAAGTTGGAGGGATCACAATACCAGATATCAAGTTATACTACAAAGCCACCGTAATGCATAAGACCAGGCATATAGATCAATGGAACAGAGAAGAGAACCCAGAAATTGACCCAAGTCATTATAACTAATTAATATTTGACAGTGGAGGCAAGAGCATACAATGGAGTAAAGACAGTCTCTTGAATAAATAGTGCTGGGAAAATTGAACAGGTACATGCAAAAAAATGAAACTAGACCACTAACTTCCACCATACACAAAAATAAACTCAAAAGGGATAAAAGACTTAAATGCAAGTTGTGAAACCATGAAAATCCTAGAAGAAAACGTGGGCAGCAAAATATCAGACATCTCACATAGGAGAATTCTCATAGATACATCGCCTAGGGCAAGAGAGACAAAGAAAAAATTAAATGGGACGATATCAAACTAAAAAGCTTCTGCACAGCAAAAGAAACCAACATCAAAATGAAAAGGGAACCCACTTACGGGAGAACGTATTTGACAATGATACATCTGAGAAGGGGTTAATTTCCAACATATATAAAGTACTCATATAACTCAACAAAAGAAAAACAATCCAATTAAAAAATGGGCAGAGGAACCTGAATAAACACTTCTTCAAAGAGGACCAATAGGCATATGAAAAAAATGCTCAACATCACTAATGACCAATAGGCATATGAAAAAAATGCTCAACATCACTAATTAGATGACCAATAGGCATATGAAAAAAATGCTCAACATCACTAATCAGAGACACAAATTAAAACTACAATGAGATATCACCTCACACCAGAATGGCTACCATCAATAAATCAACAAACGCAAGTGCTGACCAGGATGCGGAGAAAAAGAAACCCTAGTACATTGTTGCTGGGAATGCAGAATGGTAAAATCACTATGGAAAACAGTGTGGAGTTTCCTCAAAAAATTAAAAATGGAACTGCCATTTGACCCAGTAATCCCGTCTAGGAATATATCCTAAGAATCCTGAAACACCAATCAGAAAAAATATATGCCTTCCTATGTTCATAGCAGCACGATTTACAATAGCTAAGACCTGGAAAAAGCTCAAGTGCCCATCAGTAGATGAATGGATTAAAAACCTGTGGTACATTTACACAATGAAATGCTATACAGCTATAAAAAAGAAGGATCTCTTACCCTTTGAGATAGCATGGAGTGACCTGGAGAGTATTATGCTAAGCGAAATAAGCCAGAGAAAGACAAGTACCACATGATCTCACTTGTATGTGAAATCTAATGAACACAATAAACTGACAAACAAAATAGATCCAGAGACATTGAAGTATGCAACAGGCTGATGTATTTCAGAGTGGAGGGAGGGAATGGTGGGGGGGAGGGGGCAGGAATAAATTAACCACAAAACTTATATGCATATGTATGTATAACCCATGAACGAACAATAGTGTGGGGGAGGCCTGGGGAGGGGGGAGAGTGGGGTGGAGGTCAATGGGGGGAAAAAGGGGACATCTATAATACTACCAACAATAAAGATAAATTTAAAAAATAAACATATATTCTTCTATGACACAGAAGTTATGAAAGGTGGAAAACCGCATCAGATTTCCCCACATATTGTGATAGGAATAGAATTCCATTCCCTATGGTCTTCCAAAAGTCAATGCCATGTCCACAGTGAAATCAGTCATTGCCTTACCTGGAGGGATGTTTGAGTGGTTAGGTTAATGATATCCCCACTCGTTTGACCTAGCTGGCTTCTAGTAGTTAGTGCATCCTGAGTTCGCATTGGTTCTGTCAGTGAGTTGTATCTAAACAAATCAGTAGTTTCTGTAAAGTTTTCAGAAGGAGCTTGAGCTGGAACAGTGCCACCAACCAAATCCTGACTGCTGTTTGAATCCAAGGATTCATTTTCTGGGTTGAGAGAATGAATATCTTCTCCAGTGAGTTCAGGATAAGAGTCACAAAAGGAGATGTCGCCACCACAAATGGGATTTTGCATCAGAGGCCAGGCGTCCGAAAACTCGCCACGGATGGACTGAGAAAGGGACCCAAAGAAAGACGGCATTGTCTCCCCCACTGGACCTGCATTTCTGAACAGATGTTCAAAAGACCTTTAAGAGTTCTATAGGGAGAAAAAAACACTACTACAAAGCAATATTCCAACTATACTTTTAAGTTTTCTAGATGAAATAATTTATTAAGTCAGAATTCTAGTTGTTATAACTTGCTTTAATACAATAAGTTTAATTCTTCCATTTACTTTAAAACTTCATTAATATACTTACTTTTAATCAATCTAGTTATACTTAATTCAATGCCTAAAACATGCAGTTTGAAGACTGTTCTAAAATTCTATGAGTACATAATATGTTAAAAATTACTTGCAGATGGCAGAAGTGTCATAAGTCATGAATATAAAAAATAAAATTAATTGAATAAAAAATGTTGCACTGGATATTAGTAACCCTGAGAGACTTATCTAATTCTTGCCAAACATATATTTTCTCCAATGACCAGAATGTCATTAATGATATTAAAAAAGTGATGACCTCATTAAACATTTTCAAGTGTTTCACACGAAAATTGGTAAATGAGTATATTGCATATTTGCACAAGGGGTTATGAAATTATATTGCTTAAAAAATACCCAGTTACCTCTCCTGAAGTGTGGCCTTGGAATGCACCCTGCAACCAAGAGTCACTTGGTCGATGCTACAGGTGTCGTCACAGCACAAGGATGGGATCAAGTGAACAGGCCCTAGGAAAGCCAGCAGAGGTATGAAGCACAATGTTTTCTCTGGGAATGTTCTCTTTAATACCAGTTCAGCATCATTCTTAAAACTTTAGCTATTCCCCTTTGGGTAACTTTTTGGGGAAAGGGGATATGAGGCTAAATTTTTTTCTTGTTTTGAAGAAAAAAGGGGACATCTGTAATACTTTCAACAATAAAGAGAAATTTTAGAAAATGATGAACCACTTATATGATATACCTATAGTCGTCAAATTCATAGAAACAGAAAGTAGAATGTCAGTTGCCAGGGGCTGGGGGAGGGGGAATGGGAAGTTGGTATTTAGTGGGTACAGAATTTCAGTTTGGGAAGATGGGAAAGTTCTGGAGATGAATGGTGGTGATGGTTGCACAACAATGTGAATATACTTAATCCACTGAACTTTACACTTAAATTTATTGAAGAAAAAATTTAAAAATAGAGAGATTAGATAAATTTAAAAATAAATCTTCCACAGCCCTATAATCTAGAAATAAACACTGTAAGTATTTGGTGATCAGCCTTCTAGACTTCTCTCTCTATATATACATACACAAATAATTCTAATTTTCTAAAACCATAAACATACTAAAGCATACAGGTAAATATAAAGACACACACACATATATATGGAAAACGAGACAAAGTAGTTATATATTTACATGTACATACATGTTTGTGTATATTCAAACTTAACATGAGCATTTTCTCTTTACTTTTATAAACAGGGGAATAATATGAAACTAATACTTCCCTTTGGAAAATATATTGAGATGCAACTGCAAACCAGTGTTCAGCAGGAGGGACATCCGATACATTTTCATCTGAATCTCTCTCAAAATAGGCCACAACTTGTGCTGTCTGAATAGATTACGGCCATGGGGAACTCACTTGGATTCACTACCAATTAACTCAACACACATGTGTCATGCTCACTGTGGAATTTCTCAGAATTATTTAAAAGCAAAAGACACTGCCATTCCTTATAGAAATGGCTGGTTCTAGGGCTCAATCAGGAAAAGTATAAGATGAGCCTAGAACTTCTTTTTGTGCAAGAAAGTGCTAAAAGAATGATGGAACATGTCAAAATGGCACAAGAAACAGCTTGAAGGGACTTCCACTGGCAGATCTAGGAAAAATTGAGCATCAAAATAAATGATAGCAAAGGATTGTAACCCATTGAATGGGGTTCACTGGTCCACATTAAGTAAATAAATGGGAAGGGGAAGTTCTTTCTGACCATAGGAAACCAACTAATAAAAGTAGAAAGGATGATGGAATTAGAAAACCAGCAATTGTTAATTATTATACTAATGACTGACTCAGGTTAGAATCATCAGAGAATGCTAAACTACTGGGTGAAAGTTTGGAAGCAACAGGATATTTACTTCTCAAATGATCTCCTATGAGGTTTCATACAAAGAGAACAACAATTTTACAGCAGAGAAAGCTTGCAGACACCACCTTAACAAAGTGACCCTAGTTAATCTGACCAGGAATGGGACAGATGTACCTCCTGACATGGGGCACTGAGAATGACACAACACAACATCACCTCTGTGGTATTTCTGAATCTAGTCATAAGAAAACATCAGAAAACCAAAACTGGGGATCATTCTACAAAATTACTAGCCTGTGCTAATCAAAAATATTAATGTCATAAAACACAAAGGAAGATTAAAGAAATAAAAGTATTATCTGGGATTTTCTTTTGCTACAGAGGACATTATTGAGGCAAAAAAATCTGAATATATTCTGTAGATTATATAATAGCAATAGACTTAATGTTAATTTCCTGATTTAGTAATCCTGCTATTATGTATGAGAATGTTCTTATTCTTAGAAAACAAACATCAAAATATTAAGGGGTAAGGGGGCATCATATCTGCAAATGATTTTTAAATGGCAAGTGAAAAAATGTATATATATATTAATATATATGAAAAGTGTGTGTATATATACAAAATATACTATATGTATATATGTATACAATATATAAATCACCATACTTAGAGAGATAAAAATTATAAATTAAATGTCAAATGAGATAAATGTTAATATTTGGGGAATCTGGTTGAAGGGTATGTGGAAATTCTTTGTCCTAGTCTTTCAACATTTTGTAAGTCTGAAAATATGTTAAAATAAAAAGTTAAAAGGAAGAAGGAACTATTATTAAGGAGAAAGCAATCTACATGAAAAACTACACTGAACCTGGGCATTAGCATTGCGGGATTAAGCTCAGCGTTCTGTTAAGGAGATATCAAACAAGGCTATCTATATATTTAATCTTTCTTTTCAGATAGAAGTTCAGGTGAGGCAGAGTATGCACAATGCTGTATTTTATTACATTTGAAATTTGAGTTCCTTTCTCAGTAAACTATCCCTTACTCTGATTCTGTATCAATGTCACGGTAGGGTGTCTAGGAAACACTTGGGGCATTTTGAGGATCACCACGTAGCTGTTGGTAGCTGTCTAAGAGTCAATTACCTATGAAAGCAGAAGCAAAAATAGATCCCACATACCACAAAGTCCTATATTTCATTCTTAAACTTATTCCTAAAATAGAATATAGTAATGATCAGTAGGAAAATAATTATGTTGAAAACTCCTTATTCCACATATGAGATTTTAGATTAAAAAGCTGAACCCTGCAATTTCTTAAAAAGAAAGATTGAACAGTGCCAAGAGGATAAGTCAATCTCTTTGGGATACATTTCACTTAAAGAATGAGACAAAAGGGTTCTGTTAGTATTGTTTCAAAGGTGCTAAGAGAACTGGGAAGTGAGGAGAGAGGAGGGAGGCTAGAGGCTAGGGCAGGCTTCTAGAAAGAGTTTCTGGCCACATCAAATTTTACTTTGCAGAGGACATGAGGTCATTGTAGTGGGGATAGGAGTGGGAGTGTAAGTGTAGAAACCTTGTGTTAATGAATATAAATATGTTGCAAAGAAAGTTGGTACTACCTTTGCCTGTTTTTGCCCACATTAGAAACCAATTCTCATTTGAATTACTTCCCTAAACTTTCATTTCTGTCAATAATGTAGGAGGCAATTATGGTTTGTGGAAAACCCTGTCATAGAGTTTCCTCCTCCCTTTCCTTAAGAAATCCAAGGCATTAAGGTGGATACATGAACGTTAGGTGTGAATCCATTAGACAGGAAGGGATACAAACTTCTACTCTACAAAAGGTTGATAGTGTTTTAGCCCTAGCGGGTTTGCTCAGTTGTTATATGTTGGTCTGTGGACCGAAGGGTCTTGAGTTCCACTCCAGCCAAAGGCACGTACCTCAGCTGCAGGCTCCATCCTTGCATGCGGGAGGCAACCAATCGCCCCGTCTCTCTCACATCAATGCTATTTTCTCTCCCACCCTCCCTCTCTCTGCCTTCCACTCTCTCTGAAAAGCAATGGAAAAAATATCCTTGGCTGAGGATTAAAAAACAAAACGAAAGGTTGATAGTGTTTTTAATCAACTGATTCAAAACATCAGGGGCAAATTTGCTAAAAAAAATTGCTGAAAACTTCTAGGATTTTATGAGATGATTATTTTCTTTTTAATATTTAAGTGACACAACATATACTAAACATTCAAGTACTGTGGAGAATAGTTGTTTAACAAGATTAGCTTTAAGTGGAAACCAAGCAGAGCAACCTAGCTGTGGGACAGACAGGAACAGTTCTTTGAAGCTTCGAAGTCATTCCTCTAGTTTCCCTAAAGGATTTTTAACCGGCAGAACTTACCGCAGGTCTGGGCTAAGTCCTGGTGGCACTGACAACACGCTCTGGGAGATTTGTTGAGCTGAGGTCTGTCAAAACAGGACAGTTCAGAACCATTGTACTGAATGTCCTGTGTTCTCAGAGACCCTAAAGGAGGGGGTGAGAGTTCTGTCAGTAAAGGCAATTTCCTAGAAAAAGGACTTCCTTACATCATAATGCAGACCAGTACCATCCTAGGTTTGTATTTTTAAAGAAGAAGGCTATCATTCACATTTTAAAATATTTCTTCTTACATGAAGGCACAAATATGAAATAATTTGTCAAGAAAGCTCAAAATGGAGAGTACTTATGTTGCCAGAACTATTTTTATTTTTGCCTAGTGCCATGGGGACTTCCCTACCTTTTCAATGTCCTCACAAAGTGGTGCCACCCATCAGCCTGCTCCCTCAGTGCCTCTTTGGGACAGAGGACTATGAGATCTATTTTCATGTGCTCTCTGTCCCTTTTACAGCTCCTTGATTCTCATCTTACTCAAGTCTCTTGTGGAACATGCTAATGACAATGATGATACTTGCACGTAGCCAATGCTAAGAAACAGAAAATAGTCAAAACTTACAGCTGGGTTTTTTCTCCATAAATTGTCTCTTACAATAGATGATGCAGAGAATAAGCAGGGCCAGCAGGACAGTAGCCAAGGCACTGCAGATAACAGCGGCCAGGGCTGTGTCTCGCGGGCTGGAGGCTGTGGATGGGATCTTCACAAGGTTGACCTTGCTGGTACCTGAAAACAAAATAAATGGAATCAGTACTCTCAGCCACCCAAGAGACTCAGATGCTTGCACTGACCTCAGCTGTCATTATTAGCAATGGCCTTCACGCAATATAAATCAAACCCCAAGAAACCAATGGGAGGTATGTTAAGATGGCTCAAGCACTCCCTCCTCTTAGAAGATTTCTTGAATACTACACCTCCACCCTGAACCCCAAAATGTGTGGATGTGCCACTCCTTTGTTCCCACAACACTAAACATACAACCCTCAACACTGTATTGCAGGAATGTGCTTTTAAGTCCCCTAGACCAGAACTGTTTGTGAATTTGGGAATTTCTTATCTTTATTTCTGTGCCCCCAGTACTTGGCAGTGCATCTGGCACATAGTAGGTACTTCATATTTATTTAATTGGAATTAAAGTACCTAAATTTTAAAGAAGACTGAACTAAGGTATCCTTTTGGGGGGCAACTTTAGGGAAAAACAAGGAGTTGGATCATTCATGGCCTTACACTAGGCCCCCAATTTCTGAGACAGTAAACATTTTTTAATCTTAGCTGTCAAACTGAACAGCATCTAAATTGTGGAGAAAAGACTGACACTGTTGTTATACTATGGAGAGGCATGCATACTAATGTGTTAAGAAAGTGTCAAGAAGAGATTCTGTTTTAGAGGATGGTACTGCATTGTGGCTAAGGGCCGAGATCCTGGGATCTTATTGCCTGGGTCAACCTCTAGATGTGTGACCTTGAGCAAATTACTTAATAATAGTACCTACCTCACCTTGCTGGTGAGAGGATGAGATGGTTAATCATGAAAGCACTTAGAACAGGCCCTGTACCCAGTGCTATAGAATCATTAGCCATTGTAGCAATAAAAATCACAGTTGGCACTTTATCTTTGGGGTACTGTAATAGACAAACTCAGTTTAGAAATCTATATTCAGTGAGGTCACATCATATCCCATTTAACTAGCCTCAGAAGAATTTGAGAGATGAAAACCTAAATAGAGGGACAGCTATGCCTTCTTTGGCTCCAAGTAACTGCCCTTGAGCTGAGGTGGGGCCCCAGTCTGCTCCCATCAGTTACTCTCAACTCCTTAGCAACACCCAGCACAAGTTCCCCTCTGCTGAGGGTTCCTCCAGACCCTTGCTGCCTGATAGAAGCATGTACCTCTCATGCAATTTTAAGTTGTCTAGAATTCATGTTAAAAAATAAAAAATAAACAGGTAAAATTAATATTTTTCTTAACCCAATATATCTTCAAATATTATCATTCCAACATGCATTCAATATAAAAATTATTGACATCTTTCGCATTCTCTATTTTGTACAAAAATGCCAAAGTCAGGCATGATTTCACATTGATACCACATCTCTGTTTGGACTAGCCAATCTCAAGTGCTCACTGGCCACATGTGGCTAAGGCAATCATAACAGACATAGCAACTCTAGAGATTAAAGGCTGCTCCATGAATTTGCACCATAGCACCTAAGCACAAGCCAACTCACTACCTGGGACCTTCCCCTCATCTCTGGCTGCACAGGACCCTGAGGCTAGAACCAGGGAGAACCTTTTGGGTTAATATCATTGAATCATAAATATAGCAGGAATGACCGTCTTCGAACATTGAATCTTGGTATTCTAGGCTCAATTATTCTGAGTCACACTTATAAAAGTTTCTTATTGCCACAAGAAAGGGCAATTATTTATTCAGAATTTATATCAGCTATATGCCTTGGATAAACAGGAATCATAACCCAATTACATATTTTAAGAATATTTGTGAACATGGTAAATATATTTTATCACTTAGAGCTATACTCTCAAACATACTGTAATAATCAAATAGCACATATTAAATGTTCATCATACATCAAGTTAAACAAATTACATCCCTGACCTGATAGAGATGAAATCTAAATAGAAACAGTCTTTATCAATGGACAAATTCACAAAAGGACATAGGAACACAGGTACAGCTATACAAACACTGACAAACAGATAACTGACAAGGAATTTATATCCTATGCAAGTAAAGTAGTAGGCTACATTAAAGGGGAAGAGATTTGGGAAATAGAACTATTATGCATGTGGACCAAATGGTAAAGTTGTGGCAAACTGCCATCTCATTTATGTTTGTGAGAAAGGCGGTTTACAGGAGTGAGATCAGGTCCCTTATCTTAAACTTTCCATTAAACAACCCAGCTCTAGTTGTCATCAAAGTGAAATATAATACATGATGTGGGCTGAAGATATCAAAGTTCTAAATCATGTAACTATTAAGGTAATCAATTAACACAATACTGGATATTCAGAAAAACCCTACTAAAAGAGATTTTAGGTTAATGATTAGAGTTCTGTAAGTTCTTGTTTAAAATCTTTCTAAAATGTATTAACTTATTTGCCTTTATATATTAGGAACTCTTTCTGAGTTACAAACAAACTAAAATGCCCCCAAATGGAGACATTTTATTTTTAATTTGATGGTTGTGATCCAGGATTTATTCCCCCAAGCCAATCATAAAAGTCTTGCTAATATATATTTTTGCATGATAGAAAACTAATACTTTAATTGCAATAATATAGAGTTGCCATAATAACATCCATTTTAAAGGAAATAAATCCCTTCTCTCAATACAGGCAGTACATCTGAAGATGAACAAGAAAAAAACAGTAGTTTTACCACTTATTTTCTGACACCTATATAACAAAAGGCACCTTGTTAACTCAGACACCCCCTCAGAAAGTCCCCATGGGAAGTTGGGCTCTGGAAAGCATGTTCTTGATTCTTGTTTACATATTACATTTATGACACAGCAAATATAATCTTTTTTTTTATTGGAAATGGGTTCATTATTCTTAGGTTCAATTGTCACATACAGCAATACAGACATAAAATGGAAACTATAGGAGGCCGGGCTATCGTTTGATTTTGGAACAACCTTAGAAACTCATTCACATAAATTCCTGCTAAAAGCCCATTTTCTTTTTTACTTGAACAAAAAAAAACATTATTAAAAAGGAGGGGGGAACCCCAAATATCCACGGCAATCCTGAGAAAGAACAAAGTTGGAGGGATCACAATACCAGATAACAAGTTATACTACAAAGCCACTGTAATCAAAATAGCCTGGTACTGGCAAACGAACAGGCATATCAATCAGTGGAACAGAAGAGAGACCCAGAAATTGACCCATGCCATTACGGTCAATTAATATTTGATAAAGGAAGCAAGAACATACAATGGAGTAAAGACAGTCTTTTCAATAAATGGTGTTGGAAAAATTGGACAGGTACATGCAAAAAAATGAAACTAGACCGCCAACTTACACCATACACAAAAGTAAATTCAAAATGGATAAAAGATTTAAATGTAAGACCTGAAACCATAAAAATCCTAGAGGAAAACAGAGGCAGTAAAATCGCAGACATCTCTCACAGCAATATGTTTGCTGATACATCTCCTAGGGCAAGAGAAACTAAGGAGAAAATAAACAAATGGAATTGCATCAAAATAAAAAGCTTCTGCAGAGCAAAAGAAACCACCAACAAAATGAAAGGGAGCCCACTGTATGGGAGAACATATTTGCCAACGACGCATCTGATAAAGGGTTAATATCTAAAATATATAAGGAACTTACACAACTTAACAAAAGGAAGACAAACAATCAAATTTAAAAAATGGGCAAAGGACCTAAACAGGCACTTCTCCAAAGAGGACATACAAATGGGTAAGAGACATATGAAAATATGCTCAACGTCGCTAATCATCAGAGATGCAAGTTAAAACCACAATGAGGTATCACTTCACACTTGTCAGAATGGCTACCATCAACGAGTCAACGAACTACAAGTGCTCACGAGGGGGTGGAGAAAAGGGTACCCTAGTACACTGCTGGTAGGAATGTAGACTGGTGCAGTCACTATGGAAAGCAGTATGGAGTTTCCTCAAAAGATTAAAAATTGAACTGCCATTTGACCCAGTGATCCTACTTCTAGGAATATATCCTAAGGAACCCCAAACACCAATAACAAAGAACTTATGCACCCCTATGTTCATAGCAGAGTAATTTACAATAGCTAAGATTTGGAAACAGCCCAAATGCCCATCAGTAGATGAATGGACAAAAAAACTGTGGCACATTTACACCATGGAATACTATGCACTTGTGAAAAAGAAGGATCTTTTATCCTTTGGCACAGCATGGAGGGAACTAGAAAGTATTATGCTAAGTGAAATAAGCCAGTCAGAGAAAGGCAAGTACCACATCTGTCTCTTATACACATCTAGATGTGTATAAGAGACAGGNGATGAATGGACAAAAAAACTGTGGCACATTTACACCATGGAATACTATGCACTTGTGAAAAAGAAGGATCTTTTATCCTTTGGCACAGCATGGAGGGAACTAGAAAGTATTATGCTAAGTGAAATAAGCCAGTCAGAGAAAGGCAAGTACCACATGATCTCACTTATATGTGGAATATAATAAACAAAATAAACATGAACAAAGTAAATCCAGAGACATAGAAGCATGGAACAAACTGAGGGATCTCAGAGGGAAGGCAGGAGGGGGGTGTGGCTGGGGGAGAGATATCAGGGAACTTGTATGTTTATGGGCATATCCCTGGACGCGGACATTGGTGTGGGGAGGGCCTGGGGGTGGAACTGATGTGGGGGGGAGGGGATCAGTGGGGTTAAAAAGGGGATATCTGTAATGGTCTCAACAATAAAGATAAAGAAAAATAAATAAATAAATAAATAAATAAATTAATTAATTAATAATTTAAAATAAAAAGAAAAGGTGGAGGAGGAGATTGATACTAATTATACGAGGTGGATTCTACACCCTATTAAGTTCCGGTTAATTGAGATGTTGCTGAGGACTCCTCAGAAAAAGATTTACCTGCTACAAACTAAGAAATATTGTTTTGCTGACCTGTGGCCACTGTAATGATATTGAGATTAAAGATTCTTCCAACCCACATGCTTTGACTAAATTCCCT